AGAAAATTTCTTGGAAATTATGATAGTAACATACTGGTATGTACAAAGATGCTTGATACAATTGGTGTATGGAGTGTTATAAGAGCTGTAAGAACCCCCAATAAAATGATGGGGAGCGGGGGGAGATTTACCGTGCTAGAAATCCCCAGGGTAGTTCCATCCACAGGGTCCCTGTGGGCCAGCATTGACTCTGTGTGCATGTTTGGTTGGTGTCTCTTCCTAGTGAGTTCCGTCCTTGAGTTCTGTCTCACAGCATGGCAGGTCAAACCCAGCCGGCTGCTGTGGGAGAGAAAGATGAGGCTGTCTGCCCCCGTCCAGACTCACGGCAGCCTCAGACACCCGCGGTGAGGTTGTCGTCTGCTCTGGGTCTGCTCTGGCCGGGCCCTTGACTGAAGGGGCCCTGGTGGCAGTGAGGGTTAAGCCTGGGACTGCTAGCCAAAAGGCTGGGCTCTGAACTCACCGGCGGCCGTGGGGGAGAAAGCCGGCTTCCTCTGAGACATCAGCCCCAGAAGTCGGACGGGCAGCCAGCTCTGCCCTGGAGGATGGCTCTGAGTCGGAATCCACTCAATGGAGGGATCCGCTGTTGGGTTGGGGTCCTTGACTCTGAAAGGGAAGAGGGACCGGGAGCAGCAGGTGTGGCTCCTGTAGCCCAGCCACTCTGGTTGCCAGACACGGCCGTGGTCCGCCTGCCTGGGCAGGGGGTTGGGAAGGGTGCTCTCACCAGCCGGCTTGGGATGGTCTGGTTGGGGGAGATGGGGTGTTGGGGGTGCTGAGCCTCAGGATGTCACCCCACCTAGCACCCCCAGCTGGCTGCAGCCTGGTAACGCCTCGGCCGGCCAGCGGGTGAACAGACAGGATTTCAAGCCAGGAAGCTTTAGGCCCCCAGGGTTGGCTCGACAACAGAACACAACACTGCCCGGCCCCGCGCCCACCTTACATTGCTGCAGCTGCTGTGCCAGTCTGTCTCTGGCAGGTCTCCCTCCTCGTCCCCCTCCCCCTCCCCCACCGCTTCCCCAAGCAGGATGTCCTTCTGACAACGTGTCCGGAGGATGCAGGAGAGTCTCGCCCTCCTCGAAGGGACACTAGTAGAGTTGGCTGCAGCCCTAGGCTCTGGCATTCCAAACCTGGGGACCCCTCCCTCCCTGCTCCCTAGTCCCCGAGATCCTGGGTGGGAACCGAGTGCAGAAAAGAGCGAGTGTTCTCCGGGACCCAGCAGATCCTTTTGTCTGTAGCACTCTCAGAGGTGAGGTGGGTGCTATTTTGACCCAAGTTTAGTGCTGGAGAAACCCTAGCTTCACAAAGGGGAGATCCGAACCCAGGAATCCAGCCTCTTCCCCAGGGCCGTCTCCTTCTATCCCTGTGAGCTGGGTGTCTAGTGACAGTACGTCGTGTTGTGATCCAGTGGGAGTCTAAAGATAACAGCTCCTCTGGGACACCACGGTGTCCCGTGCCCCCAGGTAACCCGAGCCCAGCAGTATAAACAGACTCCGTGTCATAGCTCAGGGACGCTGCCTTTCTGCTGGCAGGAGCAGGCTAGGTGGCAGCCAGCTACCTCCTGAGCCTCGGGGTTACCCGGTTGGTGTGAGGGTAGGGTCCTGAGGGAGCTCCAGCATTCTCCTCTCCACGAAGCTCAGAGAAGGGTTCGTCCGACCCTCACCTCCAGAGCCCTGACCTCTGAGCATCAGCGCCTGGCCGGCAGGGCACCTCTGTTTCCTAAGGGCTCCTCCGGATCTTCTCATGTGTCCTCCGTATCTGACGCCCCACAGGTAAGTGACGAAAGGGCAGAAAGGAAAGTGTTGGGATGTGGACATGGAGTTCCTGATCCCGGAGGCGGGCCTGGTGACTGGAGGCTGGGACCCCAAGAGGCCGTGGCCCGGGAGAGGCAGCGATTGGAAGAAGACAAGGAGAA